TTCTTTCTGGTATTTACCACTAATGGGTTCTACAATTTGCTTATTTATAGTTTTCATTGTCTGTCTTCCCTGCCAGAATATACCAGATATATAGATCTCTGCCAGTAGACCCCTGCTCCACAAAGCCAGGGATTGTCTGTTTTATTCATCTTCTTTTTTTTTTTTTTTTTCTGAGATGGAGTCTTGCTTCTTCTCCCAGGCCCGAGCGCAATGGCAAGATCTTGGGTCACTTCAACCTCCACCTCCCAAGTTCAAGCAATTCTCCTGCCTTGGCCTCCCAGTAGCATGAGCCACCGCGCCTGGCCTTGTTCACCTTCTATCTCAGTTCTAGGGCAGTACCTGGCATGTAGCAAGCACCCAATACATTTATTAGTACAGCATTTTACAGAAGAGAAATCTGAGGCTCAGTGCAATTAAATAATTCATTCAAGGTCACACAGCTAGAAGGCGTTGTGTAGTTAAATGTTCTGTGATGCTTTTCAACAACAAAAGAATCCATTTAGCAAAAAGAGGGCAGCATCAATGACTCCTCTCCAGCTCTCCTCCCTATCACTGTTGAAGGAAGGAAGTCTCTAAAATGTGGAAGGAATAGGTGCAAGAGGGCTGCGTGGAGTTGCTGTGTGGCCCCTCGGCGCGAACATTCAGGTTTGAGTGTTATTAGATGAGGAAGCTGGGGAGCCGTCTCAGCGCTTGTTCTGAAGCATAAAGGCCAGTAACTGTTATTAAAAGAAGACCAGCTGCTCGGGGCTAAAAGCGCACAGGAGGAAGGGGCACTCCCTACTCGGGAAGCCTTTGCTAAGTCGGCTTGAGATAGTCAGGGAGAATTTTTAGACCATTTTCAGCATCAAGAGCCATCTCACTGGTAGCCTACCCAGACTTACTGTGCCCCCTAAAAATCCCTTCTTTCATCCATTCTACTGAACTCAAAGAGGAATCCTGGCTGATTACAGGCAGGACAATCAGAGAATAACTCTAGAAGTAGATCTCTGCAGCGTCATTGGAAGGAGGACAGTGATTTTTTTTTTTTTTTTTTTTAAGGAATATCTTTTTCAAGGAAGAGGAAATTTGTCTGGTCCATGGCGATTCTAGTTGGGGAAGCTGGGCCTTCTTCTCCTTACCCTTGGGAAGCCGCATTGCTAGTGCTGTCTGTCCACAGGGACCCACCCGCTTGGCGGACTAGAGCTTCTAGAACCAGAGCCAAGACAGGCAGGAGGCTCTTTAAACAGTTCAGAGGGAGGAGGCAGGGGCAGGGTCTGAGTGGAAGCGAGGTGCTGCGGGCTGTGTTTAGACCAGAGAAGGCCGGTTCCACAGGACTGGGGCCAGAGAGCAGAAGCCAGAGCAAGTCCTCGGCCTCTCCCTGGAAGGCCACAGCACCTCCCTCCACCTGGGGCCTTCATTGCTCGAGTGTGTCTACCCCAAAGCTGCTGCAAACATTCAGAGAGAGAAGTTCCCAGGGCCCAGCAGACAGCAAGCCTGCCACGTTTCTCTCCATCTTCTTTCAGGAGCAAGATGGGGTGGGGACAATGGCTCAGACTGAGAGAGGCTTCTTTGACAGGCCTGGGTTGTAACCCTGAGAGCAGAGGAAGGAGAGGAAGCCGCTGGAGTTGCAAGATGGCTTCTGTTGCCAATGTTCGGTTGCTTTCTTTCCTCCTCAAAGGTGCGAGCAAGAAGTAGCAGAGCCAAGGCGCTGGGTGCCTCTTCCATGTCCCCTCTGTAGCCCCTTCCTTCTCACGTGCTCACCACCAGCTCCCAGGTCATCGGCCTGTGCAGGGCCTGTGTGCTCCACATAGATGTCCTCTTCAGACGATGCTCCCATGCCTTGGCTGTGGTTCTTTCTGAAAATTGCCCTTGGCTGCGGAGAGCTGCCTTGCTCAAGCATTTGCCCTCCCAGGAGCTCCCTGAGGCCAGTGCCCAGGTGATGTGAAGGTAATTTCATACGGGTCTTAAGATCATCTGGCCCAGAATGCTCCATCGGATCCACTGAAACTCATGGTGGGTGGCCTTCTCCCTCCGCCGAGAGCTGCCTTCCTCCCCTGCTCACAGATCGTCTGGAGAGAACTCCGTACGAGCCTTCTGCCCATGATTCTAGAAAGCCACCTCTAAGGCCATGAGTGCCTTAGTTGTTTTTGGTCTTTGCCCCTCCAAACACAGCCCATGCATGTGACCTCCTAGGCACCCAGTTTCCATTAAAATGCAACCATCCTGTATCCCAGTAACTGGAAGGTGGGTGCTGATGGGCTAACCTGGTGCCCAGTAAAAATAATTATCATGATGGGAGCTGACACACGAACAGGTAGCAGCCTGCAAAGCACATTGACGTATGTTATCTCAATTGCAAGGCAGAATAGCGTGGTGGTCTCTGAAGTGACTCTGCCTGGATATGAATTTCTGTCCCACTGTCTACGGGTCTTGTGACTTTGGGCCAGCTACATAACCTTTCTGTTGCTCAATTTCCCTGTCTGTAAAATGGGGTAATAATAGTCCCTTCCTCAGAAAATGTTAGAATTAAGTGAGTCAATACAAGTAAAGGTCTCAGAACTGCCCTGGCACATGGTAAGCACAGAGTGCGCCTTAGCCATTAGCATTTGAGCTTCGCAACCACCCTGTGGTATTACAGTTTCTACCTACGCTGGGTGCTTCTCAAGCACTCATTTCAGCCCAGCTTTTCACTACAGCTGTTTCTTCAGCCACCCGCCGGCTCCATGTAACAGCACCTTGCTGAGCTGTGCGGCTTGTCTTACTTCCTGCCTGAGAGGGCTGCAGAGCCCACTCAGCTGTTCTGACCCAAGCAAACCTGGACGTGTGAGGGAGCTAATACCCCATGTGGCACCCCTTGATGCCAAGGAGGTATTGGAGCCAATGGAAAAACAGTCCCTTCTTTTATTCCCTGAGAGGATAATCCAGAGGCATATTGTGTCCCATCAAAATCCAAGTTCAGTTGCCCCAGCAGTGGTCACTGCAGTAATGCATGCAGTCATGGCCTTCCCCATGCTCCATTTCCTTGAGCCCATTTGCCCATCCGTGCCTGTCAATGGAGCTCATATCCCCAAGTAAACTGCCCAGACACAGGCCCTTGCCTCATGCTCTGCTTTTTTTTGATGGGGCAGGGCAGAGGGCGGGGCATCTAACTGTGCACAGGAGAAGGGTGAAAGAATAAAAAGAGGCATGTTCTATACACCGTGGAATACTATGCAGCCATAAAAAGGAACAAGATCATATCCTTTGCAGCGACATGGATGAGCTGGAAGCCATTATCCTCAGCAAACTAACACAGGAACAGAAAACCAAATACTGCATGTTCTCACTTTTTTGTGGGAGCTGAACAATGAGAACATATGGACACAGGGAGGGGAACAACAGTGGGGCAGGGAGGGGAGAGCATCAGGATAAATAGGTGATGGGTTGACAGGTGCAGCAAACCATCATGGCACACATTTCCCTGTGTAACAAACCTCCTCATCCTGCACATGTATCCTGGAACTTAAAATTTTTTTAAAAAAAGAAACATACAATAGAAAAAAAAAGAAAAAAGAGGCGTGTTCAGCATACATAATCAGATCTGGACTCAGGTCAGAGCCTTCTGCCTATCAAATTTCATGCCCTCACACTGTGCCTGCACTCCCAGTGCATACATAGGCATCTTAGCAGAGGCCTTCCAGAAACCTGATGAGGCTGCGGGCGGCCGAGGAGGAACATGCTATAAATAGGTAGCTTCAGATACGTTCACATTACAGCCCTTCTCCTGCTCCCTGCATAGAGGCAATCCTGCCTGGCAAGAGGGCGGTGAGCAGTGGCTTCACTTGGCTGAAGCCTGGGGCAGGGGCTGCACCTAACTTGTCTTTGAATTGCCAGCACTTAACCTCATGTATCAGTAACACTCAGGGTCTGGCACATAGTAGGTACTCAGTAAATGTTTGCTTGCTGGATGTGTAGGTCCAGAACTCAAAATATGGATGATTTGCTTTTTTCTGAGACAGAGTCTTGCTCTGTTGCCCAGGCTAGAGTGCAGGGGCACAATCTTGGCTCACTACAATCTACGCTTCCCGGGTTCAAGTAATTCTCCCGCGGCCAGGCGCGGTGGCTCAAGCCTGTAATCCCAGCACTTTGGGAGGCCGAGGCGGGTGGATCACGAGGTCAAGAGATCGAGACCATCCTGCTCAACATGGTGAAACCCCGTCTCTACTAAAAATACAAAAAAAAAGTAATTCTCCCACCTCAGCCTCCTGAGTAGCTAGGATTACATCACCACGCCCAGCTAATTTTTTTTTTTTTTTTTTTTTTGTATTTTTAGTAGAGACGGGATTTTACCATGTTGGTCAGGCTGGTCTCGAACTCCTGACCTTGTGATCTGCCCACCTCAGCCTCCCAAAATGCTGGGGTTACAGGCGTGAGCCACTGTGCTCAGCCAATTATTTGCCTTTTAATGATTACTTTGTATGTGGCCATGCCTGTTTCTATACTTACTGTTTATTTTTTGCTGGTTTGGAATGTAGTCTCTGATGGACAAAGAACTTTTTGGGGGTGGAAGACTGTCTACCTTTTTACCAAGGTGAGTTAGAATAGAACCATGTACTTTAAATTATTTAAGAAGCATTAAATATTTCTCAGAATTACCTGAATATCAGGTTGATTGATGAAAAAAATCTCTTGGTGCTATCTCGAACTGGCGACTTGTGGATAAATGTAGCTCTAAGATACATGGGTTTGGCCAGCGCAATGTTGACTATACTGAAATTCTTCTCAAGTATTCCATAGGTCCTACCACTTCCTATAGCATTCTGCCTCTCCCAGTTGTCAAATCTGTGTTACCTGCCTCACCCCTGCAGGTATATGGGTCCTGTGACCCCGACACCACAGGCTTCTGTGTATAAAAAGCATTGAAGGAGCTGAGTGGCACAGTTCTCTCCTTGGGCTTTCTTCTGACTTTTCCTGCGTCTTGTTCAGCCCATCCCCTCTCCCATCAGTGGGTCGTCATGTTGATACGGTGTCTTGCCCTGCAGGTACTATAAGATCTCCGTGGTGCTCATGTGCTTTGTGGTCCCCACGCTGGTGCCCTGGTACATCTGGGGAGAGAGTCTGTGGAATTCCTACTTCTTAGCCTCCATTCTCCGCTACACCATCTCACTCAACGTCACCTGGCTGGTCAACAGCGCTGCCCACATGTATGGAAACCGGCCCTATGACAAGCACATCAGCCCTCGGCAGAACCCGCTCGTCACTCTGGGTGCCATTGGTGAGTAGGGTGTTGAGGGCCAGTGGGGAGAATGACGGCCCAGGTTTTCCTGGCCTCTCAGTAGTTTTGTGGAATCAGTAAAGAGAAGCAGCGGATTGGAGTGCAGTGAACGTGAGCTTTGGCTTTTTTTTTTTTTTTTTCCTAAGATCAAGTCTTACTTTGTTGCCCAGTCTGGAGTGCAGTGGCATGATCTCAGCTCACTGCAGCCTCTGCTTCCTGGGTTCAAGCAAGTCTCCTGCCTCAGCCTCCTGAGGAGCTGGGATTACAGGCCTCCACCATCATGCCTGGGTAATCTTTGTATTTTTTATATATTTATTTTTTTAGTAGAGATGGGGTTTCACCATGTTGGCCAGGATGGTCTCGAACTCCTGACCTCAAGTGATCTGCCCTCCTTGGCCTGCCAAAGGAGCTTTGGCTTTAGGATCCTGATTCTTGGACAAGTTCTATGATCTCTCTGATTTACAGCTTTCCTATCTGAAATGGGAATAGCAATACCTACTTCATAAGAACATGTAAGCTGCTTAGCACAGTGCCTGGCCCCTAGCGGATGATCAATAACTAGCAGTTATTAATCATTACCATGGAAATGTTCTAAAGGAGAAGCAGCAGTTGACTTTTCTCTCAAACTGCACTGACCATTCTAGCTTCAGCTGTCCAATCATTTGGCAGAGCTTAAGCAAAAAGGCCTTCGAAAAAAAGACATGGGACGAATAAGACTTGGCATCTCTTGGGACCATAAAGCAGTCAAGAGCGAGGCCCCTGGAGTCAGTGAGTTTAGCTGAGTCCTGGTTTCTCCACTTACTCTCTGGGCAAGTCACCCGCTCTTCTACCTTTTGTGTCCCTATCTGTAAAGTGGGGGTAACAGTAGCACTTACCTCCTCCTGGGCTCGTTAGAGGGTTAGATGAGTCAATACAGGCTGTTCTCACCAGTGCTTACATGCAACAAGCCTTTGTAACGTTGCATTTATTTCTGGTCATGTGTTCTTAGGCAACTTACTTGTCCCTTCTGTGCATTTACGTCCTTGTTTTAATCGTAATAGGGATAATCACAGCAGTTACTTCAGAGGCATGAGGCTAAAAGGAGTTAATACCTGTTAAAGCACTTAGCACTGTGCCTGGCACATGACAGGTGATTAAGAAATATTAGCTCTACTTTTATAGAAGCAACTCAGTCTTCTTGGTAAGCTGCGCCTTGAGCACAGAGATCAAACAGCAGGAAAGTTCCTACTGTTAAGTAGAAATGGTCTCCGTGTCACTCGGTGATGAGATTCTGCCATCCCTTCATTTGGGCCATCTGTTTTTCAGACCCCAGGGATCAAAGTTCTTGTCAACTTACCCTGATGGCCGCAACAGCAGGTGGCATGAGCACCACATTTAGCCATGGAGTAACTGCATATGCAGGGACAAAGTGCCTTGGAAAACATGAGGAGCCATGTCCTGACCCTTCCTATGGTTTTCCCCACCTCTTGTCCTGCATCTTCTGAAAGGATTGTAATGAGGGGAGCTGTGGCTAGTATTGATTCTGAGAGTAGACAGAAGTGGGGACAAGATGGACCGTCACTATGGAGGGATGGACGGGCCAGGAGACTCAGGCAGTGTGGCCACAACACGGGTCCTAAGGAGCGGGCTATTGGTTATAAGTCTATCCAGGTCAACAGTGGACTCCCAGGCAGTTTGCCTCCCCAGGGTCCTTGGAAAGCTCTTGCCATACCCAGTTTTTTTGTGCAGCAGAGTGGGGAAGACATCATAGTGCCTATTTCTGAAAATAGGGTGAAGAAACTTTTCCATACTGCAGTTTAATCCAGGAAAAACACTAAAAATGGTGAGGCAGGGAGACAATATGCAAGGTAGGGATGGCCTAAATTTAAAAGAAAATTGCAGACCACAGATGGATCCATCTTGAGATACTCACTGTAGAGCCACATCCTTTAAACATGGTCAACAGGAGAACTATATGATGACTAGTAGCAACTTAAGAAATAAGAGAAGAGTCTGACAGTTTCTCAAACCGTTAAAAATAGTTACTATATGATCCAGCAACTCTACTCCTACATTTATGCCAAAGAGAAATGAAAACATATGTCCACACAGAAACTTGTATATGAATATTCACAGCAACATTATTCATAATAACTAAAAGTGGAAACAACTCAAATGTCCATCAACTGATGAATGGATATGTACAATGTTGTGCATCCATATAATGAAATACCATTTAGCAGTAAAAAGAGAATGCAGATCTGATACTTGATACAACATGAATGAACCTCAAAAACATTTTTAAGTGAAAGAAGCCAATCACAAAGGACTATACATTGTATGATTTTATTTATATGAAACATCCAAAATAGGCAATTCTACAGAGAGAAAACAGGACTGGGAGGGAGTGGGAGGCGGTTGAGGGGTGATAGCTCAGGCATGTGAGGCTTTTTGGAGAGGAATGAAAATCTTGTAAATTCATTGTGGTGATGGATGCATAACTCTGTGAATATATCAAAAGCCGTTCTTTGTATACTTCAAGAGGGTGAATTGTATGGTGAGTGAATTTTATCTCAGTAAAGCTGTTTTTGAAAATCAAATGAACTAATCATTAGAGAAATGCAAATTAAAACCACAATGAGATATGACCTCACACTTATTTGAATGACTGTTGTCAGAGGGTAAAAGATAACAAGTGCTGGTGAGGATGTGGAGAAAGGGAGCCCTTGCACACTGTTGGTGGGAGTGTAAATTAGTACAGCCATTATGGAAAACAGTATGGAGTTTCCTCAGAAATATTAAAAATAGAGCTACCATATGATCTAGCAATCCTACTTCTGGGTATATATCCAAAGGAAATGAAATCAGGATGTTGAAGAGATAGCTGCATTCCCATGTTTAAACAGGATTATTCACAGTAGTCAAGATATAGAATCAACAGAGGAATGGATAAGAAAATGTATCATGTATGCATAATGGAATACTATTCAGCCTTTAAAAAAGAAGAAAGTCCTGCCATTTGCAACAACTCGAATGAACCTGAAGGACATTATGCTAAGTGAAGTAAGCCAGGCACAGAAAGACAAACGCTATATGATCTCACTGCTATGTGGAATCTAAACAAGTTGAAATCATAGAAGCAGAGTAGAATGATGGTTACCAGAGGCAGGGGCAGAGGGGATGTTGAGAGATGTTGGTCAAAGGGTACAACTTTTCAGTTTGACAAGAGGAACGAGTTCAGGAGGTCTGTTGTAAAACATGGTGATAGTGACTATAGTTAATATCAATGTATTGTACTCTTGAAAATCACTGAGAGTAGATTTTAAGTGTTCTTATCACAAAAATGTAAGTATGTGAGGGAATGCATGTCAGTTAGCTCAATTTAACTATTCCAAAATGTATACATCTCTCAAAACCACATGTTGTACATAATATATACAAATTTTATTTGTCAATTAAAAAATGTGTAAAAGAAATTTTAAAAATCAAATAAGAGAAGCCATGAGAGCTCCCACGAGTACGTCTTTTTAAAAAATTAAGACAGTAAAAGCTGCCCACTGGCCACTGGAAGGGGCAGAATAACAGATAAGTACATTCTGGATATTTAAAGATACTTAATTTACTTACCTATTTGAATGATTCTCATTTATCTCTTCTAAGCTCCTAAAAAAGGATTTTTAATCACTCCAGCCCACAGAGACTATTTTTTTAAAAATAATTGTACATCAAAATGATCTGTTACCAGCCATTTAGCATTTACCTTTAGAAGACTAGTTCTGAAGTCATGGTATTATGTCACAGTTCACACAGGAAAATTAATCTTGGGATGATGTTGATAACTTTATTGCTATTTTTCTGTTCATATTGTTTGTTTAGCTAAGTAATTCAATGCCTTTGGAGGCAGTAACCAAGTCTTTTGCTCTTCAGAGCCTGACACCATATTCTGCAAACAACAAACCCTGAAAAAATAGGTGATAAAAAAAAAAATCTATGCAAAGAAGTTGTGATTGAGTTATTTCAATGCCCACTTTGTCTTCCAGGTGAAGGCTTCCACAATTACCATCACACCTTTCCCTTTGACTACTCTGCGAGTGAATTTGGCTTAAATTTTAACCCAACCACCTGGTTCATTGACTTCATGTGCTGGCTGGGGCTGGCCACTGACCGCAAACGGGCAACCAAGCCGATGATCAAGGCCCGGAAGGCCAGGACTGGAGATGGCAGTGCTTGAACCCGGAACAGCCGTCCCGCAGTCTGCCATTCCACCTCGGTTCATGGCTTTTGTTACAATAGTTCTCTTGTACATTGGATCGTGGGAGGGGGCAGAGGGTGGGGAAGGAACGGAAACTATGTGGTTTGGGAATTTTTGTGTTTGTCTCAAAATAAAATAATGTTGAAATACAATTGTCTATGAAAAAAACTTTTTTTTTTTTTTTTGAGACCTGGTCTCCCTGTGTCGCCTAGGCTGGAGTGCAGTGGGATGACCTTGGCTCACTGCAACCTCCACCTCCCTGGTTCAAACAATTCCTCTGCCTCAGCTTCTCAAGCAGCTGGGATTACAGGCTCACGCCACCATGCCTGGCTAATTTTTTGTATTTTTAGTAGAGATGGGGTTTCACCATGTTGGCCAGACTGGTCTCAAACTCCTGACCTCAGGCAATCCTCCTGCCTTGTCCTCCCAAGTGCTGGGATTACAGGCGTGAGCCACCACACCTGGCCAAAAAAAACTTTTTAAGTCAAGATTAGTACGATTTAACATTAGAATATGGACATGTGATTTAATCGCTGTAGCTGAAATACGTCAACTATACATTGTCATGTGCTTGAACATGTTGCTAACCCTGACAGGATGAAGGAATGTAATACTCTTTCAGTGTGCTTCAGGAGAGCATTTGTTTTATTTTCTGCCAATTAACCTGGCATTGCTTTTAAACAACCATCTGAAGGAGCCGAGAGGCAGGGTAGAAGACAGAAGGCGGGTCTATGCGGTAACTAAAGAATGTGTCTGTTTTGTAATTATTGCGTGTATGTGGTTTTTTGTTTGCTTAAGAGAATCAAAAACTGAAGAAAATGAGAATACAGGAAATGGCTCTCGTATATATATATATTTTTTGCCATGTTTATAGCTTGTTAATGCTCTACTGTCTTTGCTTCCAGAGAGATTTGTTCACTGCCCAGCTCGTCTCATGTTCTGAGCCTTAAGCCCAGCCCACTGTATAAATCATGCCTATTTAGATGTTTGATTTTGTTCTGTTTGCCATTGTCGTCTTAAAGGTGTATAACTCAGACATGCCAGACATCAAATTAAGCTCAAATTAAGCTCTCGTTTAAATGTTTAAACACCTAATTTATATTCTAATTGATCCCAGCCACTGATGCATGTACTTCAGCTACTTCTGCTAAATAAGCATATTAATTTTCCACATCAGGCCGTCAGATCTTAAGAACCAACAGTTTTCTAGAATTCCATGTCTACTAATGCTTCACCTGCATGCAGCCTTCATTGATTTTGCAGCAAAATATAAAGTGATCATTATGTAGCTTCTAGATTAAAAAATTGTGTGTGTGAAGTTGCTTTGTAAAGAGCATGTGGAATTAATGGGACAGCGTGCCCTTCGTGTTAGATGTTAGAGCAAAAGAAAGGGCTTATAGTGTTGGTATTGGAGCACTTTGAAGATAGGTATTTTCAGAAAAGATGTAGGATTTAAAAGTTAACATTTTAAATTTTAGAAAAAGATATGATGCCAATTGGAAATTGTCACAATGAAGTTCTTCATCCAGCAGGTGTTTAACAGTGTTATTTTGCCATTGATAATGTGTAAACTGTGAGTGATTTACAATAAATGATCATGAATTCACTGGTGTTCTTGTCCACATACTTCAGTGCTATTTAGAGAATGTTCTTTTCAGAGTGCTTGATGCGTCATGATGACCGTATGACTTGCATTGGATTTGGTCTCTGGGCTAACAGCAGCCCCTGAGAGCAGCCCCTGAGGCCAGGCGTGTCCTATCCTATTGGGCTTAGGCAACAGCCAGGGGAAGCCAGCAAGGTTTATTTGGAATGCAGAACTCCCAGTGGTACTGTTCCTGATTCTCACTCACCAGCAGTCACTAAGAGTGCTTATAGATGATAAATGGGAATCTATTCCTGTATGTCACCCATAGGAGCATGAAGGACACCTTCCCCTCTCCAGGCCCCACCAATAGTTACCAGAGGTGGAGGAGATGGACTCCTGTTTTCATTCTAGTCCTGCCTCTTTCAGCCTCACCTCTGCACCACCAAAGTCTCCGCCCATCTTTTGCCCCAAAGCAGCTGTGCCCCTGCCGTCAGATAGAACCTTCTTAGCCTGTCTGCAATTGAGTGGTATTCTAGTCACTGATGGGTACCAGGCTAGATCTCATCATGTAAGGACCCTTTGGATGTGACTAGCATTTTTCAACTGCTTTATATTCCAGTCACACATTGCGAAGACCTTGTATCGAGTGTGGGTAGAGGGCAGTCATAGTCCAAGACAAGTTTGTATCAACATGATGTAAAATGGTCCTTAATTGGGAATGTATATGTGAACCTTTGACTCCTAAAAGTACTAAACTTACTTATTTGTCCATTAATCAAAAATATTACATTTGGAACAGCTATTTGGAATCTTTTCACAAAAGGAGGGTGTTTCCCAGCTAGACCAAATAAATCTGGAACCTCCCTCCTCTGAACCTGAGTGCCATCTGTTTTTCCTACAGCAGAGCCTGCGAATGACTTAGGCTTGGAATGATTTGGAGGAAGACGTGGACAAAGGTTAGACTGCACTAGTGTCTTCCCTGTTATCATTTCCTTCAGGTCTAAGGAACATCTTAACAGAAAGTATCCCTGGGAGTTATTTCCCAAACCTATCTATCCAAGGTGGCCTTAGAAAGACCGATCCATTTTTTTGAAAGTTTCTGTTTAAGAAAGTGATCTCCCCATGCCCAGTCTTTAATCTCATCCCTACAAGGCTTATATCAGAAGCACCCACCCCTGCCTCTAGGTGAGGGGAGCCCAGGGGAAGCAGTTCCAATAGCGTGTGTGCTACAGGCATCACAGCAGATTCATGGAGCCAGCCTGGGACAGTGGAGCCAAGTCAGTTCACCTCAAGTCCCCAGCTCTGCTACTGGCCAGCTCTGAGGCCTTGAGAAACATGTCTTTTTGGATTCGGTTTCCTTCTCTGAAAAGAGAGGAAATTAAACCAGACTCTTGTCTAAGGTCCCCTTCAGCCCTACCATTCGACGACAGCAAGAGAGATGAGTCAGACACATTCTCATATGCCTGACTTCGAATTTGAAACACCTCTCAAGCCAGCACTCATCCTCTCTGGGACACAGAAGGTCAAAATTGGGGGGGGGGTATGGGAATAGTAGAATCTGAATGCTAGAACACAGACTGAGGCTAGAAGGATAGAATGTTCTTGGTTTTAAAAAACCTTGCATGTATTTTGTGTATTCCCAAAATGCAATGAAGCAATTAAAATAAATGTAACCCATCATGAAAAACAATTTAATGAGAGAAACTGTCACAGAAAGCTCCATGGCTTAATGGGGTAGTAGAAATAGCACTGGACCTGGAATTCTAAGACCTGAATTTGAACTCTAACTCTTGATCTGACTTGCTGTGTTACCTAGGCCTCGGGTTAAGCTGAAATATGACATAGGAAGTTGTCATTTACTAACCTTCAGAGCCTCTCTCACCCTCAGTGTCCTTGTCTACGTGACAGGAAGAGCCACATTTATGTCTATTAGATTCATCTAGAGGCCTCATCCCAGTGCCTGGGGCACAGCCTCGGGAGACATCAGTTGAGGGTGAGTAGCATGCCCCACACACAAGCCAGAGGCAGGGATATGGTGCAGAGAGCCATACACCAGAAGTGAACCATTTTCTGGGCCTGGTTTCGCTAACTGGGTGGCCCTAACTCAGCTCTGAGAACTTCGGTTTCACCTTCCGTAAAGGAACCAAATGGATTGGATTAACCTGTCCAGCTCTGCCATTCTGGGGAGTCTTTACGTCCGTGTGCCTTCCTCGGTTCCAGGCCTCTGCGCGGCCCCCTGCACCCCTCTGCACCCCTGGCTTCCCTGCTGCGCCTCACACGAGAGGACGGCTCTGGTCTGCAATGTCAGCTCATCAGGACCTGGAACAGAAGATTTGTGGAGGGGAGAGGTTGAAGCTCATAGATGAGAGTGAGCTTTGGGGATTATCTGTGCGGTTCATTTGTCCGTTTTCCTCCTGTCCCCAGTTACAAAGGGGACCGAAAGCCACTTGTGTTCTCAGTGGCTGCTCATGTGAAAAACAAGGAAGGAAGGAAATACCCTAACCTTTATAATCCTTTTTTTTTAAAAAAAAAATCCCATTTTTAGCTCAGGGTGTTAATCAAACTCCTTCCCCTTCCTCTACGTCAAGGATGTGCTATAAATGACTGGAAACTCCTTTCCTTGTTCCCTCTGCTAGTTCCCTGTGGAGTGTAGAGTCTATAGCCCCCATCCCACCTCGAGGACGTTCCTGACTCTATAAGTGCAACATCAGAAGCAAGAGGAGGGAAGCCTTGTCTCAGGGCAGCAAGCCTGGCTGTCCCAGCAGCTTCTGTGGGCCCGACACAGCCTTCTTTCCCTCTCCATTCACCCTCTGTGGTGCTGCGACTCCCCATCTGGAAGAGCAATCAGCCACATCCTGGCCATGACTACTTCACAGGATCCAAAAGGAAAATGTCAGCTAATAGCAGCCTGGGCTAGCTAGGGCTTTGCCCTGCAAAACAATACCCTTCCTTACAGCTCCTGGCCTGTGTTTACTATGGAAAAAAGATGGCGTTACCTTCAACCAGCCATCTGAGTCCCTCACCGCTGGGGAGCTATGAATGCCCTCCGCCCTACTTGTTCTCAGTCCTCTATGAGGCAACTCTCAATGTTACCACTGAAAGGAATCTCAGAAGCTGTTTTCTTCTTTCTTTCTTTCTTCCTTTCTTCTCTCTCTCTCTCTCCCTCCCTTCCTCCCTTCCTTTTTTCTTTTCCTTTTTTTTTAATATAAGGTCTTGCTCTGTCACCCAGGTTGGAGTGTAATGGCATGATCTCAGCTCACTGCAGCCTCCCCTCACTGCAACCTCCACCTCCTGAGTTCAAGCAATCCTCCCCTCTCAGCCTCCCTGGTAGCTGGGACTACAGGTGCATGCCACCACACCAGCTTTTTTTTTTTTTTTTTTTTATAGAGATGGGGTTTTACCATATTGGCCAGGCTGGTTTCAAAACTCCTGACCTCAGGTGATCCACCCACCTCGGCCCTCTAAAATGTTGGGATTACCTAAATTGTTGGGATTACAGACGTAAGCCACCGTGCCCGGCAAGAAATCTAAGTTGCTTTCTTCTAGAGGTACCAGCTGCTAGACAGAGCCAACAATCCCCGTGCTGTGGGTGGACAAAATGACTGGGTCCCAGCAGAGCAAGGGTATGTTTGTAGTTTTATGACTGGATTTCCCATAAGCCTGCGCTCACAGCACATGTACTGCAAAACACAGGAGCCGTGTAAGGCTGCATCCTTATTCTGAGCTGTGTGGCAATGCTGCTGCATAGGGCAGGGGGAGCTCCCTATAAGGTACACGATGTGAGCATTGGTGGAGATGAACTAGGCCAACTGGGATCTCCAGTATCTCAAAGACAGGTGCGATGGTCGTGTAGGCAATGTCTTCCAGTTCCCGTAAGCAGGTTCTGACTCCCGAGGCAGAGGGACAGGGAAGACTCACTTCAGCTCCTTCCTGGCCCTGCAGTTGCTGCCCAGGAATGCAAGAGCAGCTCTGTTAGAGCTGACTGCCTTCTATTTCCTCCTCTGAACTAAAGGGCACTTAGATTTCTAGCATCAGAAAGTGCTTATTTCAGATGTGCCAACCAATGAGCACATCTGTTTGCACCGTTGTCTGCAGCTCCTTCCAGACTGCACTATCTGCAACACATGGGACCCAAATTCTTTGGTCAGCGTGTTAGAACATGCACACAGCTGCACTACGCCAACCAGGGGGCAAAGGATTTCAAAGTGGGTATTTTGGCCTGGATGGTTTCAAATCATTGTTTTAAAAGTGAATATCTTGATTTTGACTCTATGTAAAAAAAAAAAACCTTAAATATTGTCCCTTTTCATTCCATCTGAAGCCAGGGGTTTGGGTCCGTCTTAAGACACTACATGGATAGGTCATTTTGATGTGGTTTTGTTTATACATTACCTGACTCTTTGGCCTCTCTCTATACCGCAAAGAAATATTCGGATTGTTACTTTGTTGTGAGACAAACAGCCAAAGGAAAAATATTGAAGACCTCTGCTTTGTCATCTACACTATGTAAGAACTAGAACCAGTGACTGCTTCGGTCTCTTTCCTCTATCTTAAACTATGGGACTCAGTAGCAAACAAGCTTAGAAAATGCAAGCTTCTGCTTTACTCAAGCAAAAGATACGGTCAGAAGCTGTACTAGCTTTATAGCTCATAGAAGAAAAAAACGGGCCAGGTGCAGTGGCTCATGCCTGTAATCCCAGCATTTTGGGAGGCCAAGGCAGGCAGATCAGTTGAGGTCAGGAGTTTGAGACCAGCCTGGCCAACATGGTGAAAACCTGGCTCTACCTAAAATACAAAAATCAGATGGGTATGGTGGTGCGGGCCTGTAATCCCAGCCACTGGAGAGGCTAAGGATGGATAATTGCTTGAACCAGGAGACAGAAGTTGCAGTGAGTTGAGATCACTGCACTCCAGCCTGGGAACAGAGTGAGACTCCATCTCAAAAAACAAAAGAAAAAAAAAAAAAAACAGGGAAGAGGCTCAAGGCCAGGGTGTTGAGTGTTGTTCAACTAACCGGGTCC